ACAGCTCTTATCAGAACTATGGCTTGCCCCAGGTCATCTAGCAGGTGCAGGTGGAGGAGTGGGGGAATCAAACCCGGTTCTCCCAGATTAGAGTCCACGCACTTAACCACCACACCAAACTGGCTCTCACACAGAGAAGGCACTTTGTTCAGCTTCTGGAAAGGTTCTGTCCAAAAGGAAAAGCAATTAAACCAGCCCCTCCCCGGCCACCCCACCTCACAGGCAGTGTTCCCTCTCAGATGAGTTTATTGTGAGCTAGCTCACAGGTTTTTAGCCTCCGGCTCACACATTTTTGCCTCGGCTCAGGAAGGGATGGGGCTCCAGAGCTAACTCATCATTGCAGGAGCCAAACCGCTTGTTTACAACTTTCATGATGTCAGGAGCTCACAAGGTAGCACTTTTCGCTCACAAGTCTCCACTGCTGGCAACCCCAACACCAGAGATCAGTTCCCCTGCAAACAGGAGCAGACGCAGACAGTGATGGCGAACCTTTTAGAGACCGAGTGCCCAAACTGCGACCCAAAACCCACTTATTTATCGCAAAGTGCCAACACGGCAATTGAACCTGAATACTGAGGTTTTACTTTAGAAAAAACAACTCATACATTAACTTCAGATGATCCAAACAAAGTAATTAAAGGAATCCCAAATGCTTTCATTGACTTAAAATTATTTGGCAGAGAATTCGACACTTTAATGATGGTCTGGGCTTGGCTGCGGCGATGGCACGCGTGTCCACCAATGTTCCCTTTAAGCTGAGTTAGTGTGAGCTAGCTCACAGTTTTTTAGCCTCTGGCTCACACATTTTTGTCTTAGCTCAGGAAGGGTGGGCTCCAGAGCGAACTAATTTATACAGTAGTCAAATCGCTTGCTCACAACTTTAATGCCAGTAGCTCACAAAGTAGAATTTTTGCTCACAAGACTCCACAGCTTAGAGGTAACATTGGTGCCCACTGAGAGGGCTCTGAGTGCCACCTCGGGCACCGGTGCCAGAGGTTCGCCACCACTGCTCCAGGAGAGATCCCAGATGCAACCCACCCACCCACCCGTTCTCCCCCTTCCCCGGGCAACCGCACCCCAAAGCCTCCCGGAATCTCCCGGGCGGGAGCTGGCACCCCCACTCTCCCCGGGGCGCGGGCACTCACAGGCCACCCGGTGGATGACCCACTGGTTGACCCCCACCTCGGCCAGGCAGAGGCAGGCGGCCACCAGCGGCGTGTAGCGGGGCTCCAGCAGCACCAGGTGCTTCTCCTGCCAGGCCCGGCGCAGGCCCTGCCGCACGGAGGGCGACCCCAGCGGCCCCGCCGCCCCCTTCCGCCGCAGCCCGGGACCCGCCGCCATCGCCCTCCGACGCGGCGCTCTGCGTTTTTTCCCGCGCCGACAGTTCCGCCGCTCGCCCGGCCCGGCCGCCCGCAGACGACGACGACGGGGCGCCCGGGGACTGGCTGCGAGGAGGCCCCCGCCCCGCCGGCCCGCGTTTTCGAAAACTCCCCGCACGCTCTCCCCCTCCGCTCCGCCGCCCCACTGAGGACTAGGAACTTCTGGTCGCCACACCTCTGAAAGGATATTATAGCCTTGGGGAAAGTGCAGAAAAGGGGCAACTCGAATGATCAAGGGGTTGGGGACGCTTTCCCTATGAGAAAAGGTTAAAGCGCTGGGGGGGCTCTTCAGCTTGGAGAAACGACGGCTGAGGGGCAATGTTCCCTCTTAGCTGTAGAGTCTTGTGAGCAAAATTTCTACTCTGTGAGTTACTGGCATTGAAGTTGTGAGTGAGCAATCTGGCCACTGCATCAGTTAGTTTGCTCTGGAGCCCTCCTCCCTGAGCTAAGACAAAAATGTGTGAGCCGGAGGCTAAAAAACGGTGAGCTGGCTCACACTAGCTCAGCTTAGAGGGAACACTGCTGAGGGGTGACATGATCGAGGTTTATAAGATTATGCGTGGGATAGAGCAGGTAGAGAAAGAGGTACTTTTCTCCCTTTCTCACAATACAAGAACTCGTGGGCACTCCATGAAATTGCTGAGCGGGTCGGGTGAGAGCGGATAAAAGGAAGCACTTAACATAAGAACATAAGAGATGCCAATGTTGGATCAGGCCAAAGGCCCATCCAGTCCAACACCCTGTGTCACACAGTGGCCAGAAATACCAGGTGCCATCAGGAGGTCCTCCAGTGGGGCCAGGACACTAGGAGCCCTCCCACTGTTGACCCCCCCCCATAAGCACCAAGAAGACAGAGCATCCCTTGCCCCAGAGCCCCTACCTATACCTTGTGGCTAAGAGCCACTGATCGACCTCTGCTCCATATGCTTATCTAATTCCCTCTTGAAGCCGTCCATGCTTGTAGCCGCCACCACTTCCTGTCGCAGTGAATTCCAGGTGTTAATCACTCTTTGGGGGCACTTCTTCACCCAAAGAGTGATTAACACATGGAACTCACTTCCACGGGATAGTTACAAGCTTGGACAGCTTCAAGAGAGAATTGGATAAACATCTGGAGCAGAAGTCCATCAGTGGCTGTTAGCCACAAGGTATAGATAGGGACTCTGGGGCAAGGGATGCTCTGTATTATTGGTGCTTGGGGGGGGCAACAGTGGGGGGGCTTCTAGTGTCCTGGCCCCACTGGTGGACCTCCTGATGGCACCTGGTATTTCTGGCCACTGTGTGACACAGAGTGTTGGACTGGATGGGCCACTGGCCTGATCCAACATTGGCTTCTCTTGTGTTCTTCTGTTCTTATCTGGAGCCACCAAACCCTCCGGTTTGCAGTCTTGTGATCAGGGGAAGTGATACCTGCAGTTAGGAGATGGTTCTGAGAGATCTCCAGGCTCCACCTGGAAATTGGCAAGCCTCGTTGTCCAAAGCATAGTGCTGCCGCCCCTGTGTTGCCCCCCCCCCAACAAAAAACTCTGGCTGCAATCAATGGTTACCCATTCCTCATAGTCATGTGATTTTTATCAGCTATTTGGAATTTCTAATATTTTTAACTTCCTCGTTGTTATAAATCGTTTTAAATGGTTTTCTGGCAATTTTAAATTGATATATTATAATAATAAATATAATAATAAGATATAAAATGTTTGTTGACAAAATCTTTTTCATAGTTTTTTTTTCAGATTGAGAATAGCGGATGATTATTTTAGGGAAACAGCATTATTGGTGGTGTTATAATGGTTTATCTAGATTTATTGATTCATTTACGTTTATATTGACTTGAATATTTGTTTTTTAAAAGTGCCTTATGTTTATTTTTCTTTCCCCCTCACACCTTTTCTTTTTCTGTTTGTACCCTATATAAAATTTAAAATACAATATATTTTAAAAAAAAAAAAAAATTCCGGCTACAGGCCTGTGTGGCTCTGTGGTAGAATATCTTCTTGACATGCAAAGTTTGAGTCCAGTGGCACTTAAAACCAACAAAAGTTTAATTCTGGGCATAAACTTTCGTGTTTCCGGGCCTTATGTTTGACACCCCTGCAGTAGAAGCCAGCTTCATGTGTTCAAGTTGCCCCGATTGTACTCAAAAGATCTTTGCTGTGCTTTAGGAACAGGGGTGTTTGTTTATTCTTGGGTCTGGATTCCAGTTTGTCTGTGGCCTTAAGCCCCTAAAACTCTAGTGAGCCACAGAGGTCCATCAGTGGCTATTAGCCACAAGGTATAGCTAGGGGCTCTGGGGCAAGTGATGCTCTGTCTTCTTGGTGCTTGGGGGGGGGGTCAACAGTGGGAGGGCTTCTAATGTCCTGGCCCCACTGCTGGACCTCCTGATGGCACTGGTATTTCTGGCCACTGTGTGATACAGAGTGTTGGACTGGATGGGCCTTTGGCCTGATCCAACATTGGCGTCTCTTATGTTCTTATGTTCTTAATCGGGGCAATTACAATTTTAAGGCGATGTGGGGCTCCGGGCTGCTTTTCTTCGAAAGTAAAGTTCCACCTGGTTCTCCACCAGCAGGGCTGCCAATCTCCAGGTGGGGGTGGGAGATGGAGATTTCCCAGAATTACAACTGATTTCCAAACCACAAAAATAGGTTAATTGGTTAAACTGTCGTGTGAATTATTTTAAAAACTTTTTTGTGTGAATTGAAAAAAATGGTGCGTTAAATAATCCAACAAAATATCCACTTCCTCTTTTGTGATACTGGCCATAGGTGATTGTTTCTAGTTGAAGGTTGCCGGCTCCAGGTTGGGAAATCCCTGGAAATTTCCAGGTGGAACTCAAGGTTTGGGAAGGGGAGGGAATTTAGCAGGATTATAACACCATAGAGTCCCCTCCCCAAAACAGTTATTTCCTCCAGAGGACTGATCTCTGTACCCTGCAGAGTGCAGATTAGTCTTAATTCCAGGAGATCTCCAGGAACCACCTGGAGTTGGCAACCAAAGGGATACCAGCATCCAGGTAGGATTTGGGGATCCCCGGAATTGCAGCTCATCTCCAGACTACGGAGATCAGTCCCCCTGATGGAGAAGATGGGTGCTTTGGAGGGGGGGCTGTATGGCCTTGTACCCCACTGAGGTCCCTGTCCTCCACCCCCCAAATCTCCAGGAGTTTCTCAACCTCGATTTGACAACTCTTCTCCCCCATCCCCTGCTCTCTCTGACGTGGCCAGCCTGCGTCTAGCCAGCACCCATTGGCAGTGGTTGGTTGCTGTGGTTTGGGTTGCTCCGCCGTGCCAAAGCGTATCCCCGCACGCAGAAAGCTAGCCGTTCGGGGGAAACTGCCCTTCTGTCTCGCCTGCTTGGCTTGTAAGGAGGCGCATTCCGCCACGCGACCCCCTCTTGTGTTCCGCATGGTACAGGCCAAACATAGAGGAGAACGAGAGTCCGCCTGCCGCATTCTTCCTTTTAGCCGGCGGAACCTAGAAAGGGGTTTTTTGCTGGTGGGGGGACAACTATGGCGGTGGCACCAGCCTCCCGCGCCGGAAGCTCCACGTGGTTTGTGCGGGCGCACGTGGGCGGAGTGGTGCCGCGGCGCCCGCATGGCTTCGGTTCGCCTCGGGGGAGCACATGGGGGAGCCTCCGCGGCGGCAGTTGCCGGATTGCAACGCCCGCTACCGGGACCGGAGCTTCTGGGAGGCGCGCTACCGGGACGAAGGGGCTGCCCCGGCCGAGTGGTTCGGGGGCTTGGAATGTTTCCGCGAACAGCTGGAAGCCGAGCTGAGCCCGGCGGGACGGGTCCTCGTTTGAGTGAGCGCCCCGCCGGGCGGGCTGCCCCCCCAGGGTGGGTGGGTGGGTAGGGACGGTGGTCAAGCTCCGGTCGCCAGCTCTGGACTGGGAAATACCTGGAAATTCTTTTTTTTTGGGGGGGGGGGGCTGCCTGTAGCCTGGGGAGTGGAGGGACCTCAGCAGGCATAGTGCCATAGAGCCCACCCTCTAAAGGAACCATTTTCTCCAGGGGAACTGATCTCTGTCGTCTGGAGATCAAGTGTAATAGCGGGAGATCTCCAGGCGCCACCTGGAGGTTGGCAACTGGTCAGTCGTCCTTGCTCGGGGCTCTGTTTTCTCGTCCTCCTGGGCTTTTTTCTTTCGGGCCGTCCACTTGCCTCTTTCCTAGCCCGAGGACTCGTCCTTGGGGCCAAAATGTCAAGGAAGTGTCCACTGCCCCACTGCTTCCGTTGTCCAGGTGAGGCTGGTCCGGAGGTGAAGAATTTAATTTGTGTGTTTAAATCATTTGCACCCAAGCTTTCTATGCTCCTCCATAGAAGAAGAAGAAGAAGAGATTGGATTTATACCCCACCCTTCACTACCCAAAGGTGTGTCAGAGCGGCTCACAAACTCCTTTCCCTTCCCCTCCCCACAACCCACACCCTGTGAGGAAGGTGGGGCCAAGAGAGCTCTTGACAGAAACTGCTCATTTCCAAGGACAGCTCTTATCAGAGCTATGGCTTGCCCAAGGTCATCCAGCCAGGTGCAAGTGGAGGAGTTGGGAATCAAACCCGGTTCTGCCAGATTAGAATCCGTGCCCTTAACCACTACACCAAACTGGCTCAAGAAGAAAGTTAGAGTCCACTGGCACCTTTAAGACCAGCAAAGTTTAATTCCTGGTATCAGTTTTTGTGTGCATGCACACAAAAGCTTATATCCAGAATTAACTTTGTGGGTCTTAAAAGGTGCCACTGGACTCACACTTTATTGTGTTGCTTCAGACCAACATGGCTACCCACCTGAATCTGTGCTCTCATCCATTTTATCCTCACAGCAACCCTGTGAGGTAGGTGAGGCAGAGTGTGTGTCACCCAGCAAGCTTCCATGGCATGAGTGGGGATTCGAACCTGTGGCTCGGAGAATGCTGCTCTGACACTCTTTAACCATGCTGGCTGTGGTTTCTGACCTTACAAAGCGTGTAGTCAGTATGTGTGTTATGACAAATTTTTGTAGCCTGGTGTAGTTTGTTCTTTGGGAGTGCAGGTTGGAAACTTGAAAGCAGAGTTTGGGGGCAGAATTGTGGGATCTTACGTGTGCCCCTCACAAATGAAATTGCTTTGGGAGCTTAGTGTCTGCCAGCATGTGTGCTATAGCAAAGAACTGACACGTGAGGGCGCTCTTGTCCCATTTCCCAGCATTTGCTGCCTTCTCAGTCTCCCTCTATTTTTTGGGAAAGTATTTTGCTAGATTTTTATTTCACCTACAGTTGCCATCTCCAGATCGGAAAATCCCTGGAGGTTCGGAGGTAGAAGAAGTTTATGGAGGCCAAAAGAGAGAAAGACCGAACATAAAACGGATGGACTCAATCAAGAGCTCTCTCAGCCCCACCTACCTCACAGGGTGTCTGTTGCGGGGAGGGGAAGGGAAAGGAGTTTGTCAGCTGCTCTGAGACTCCCTTGGGTAGTGAAGGGCCATGGGGTATGAATCCAGTCTCTTCTTCTCTTCTTATTACTGAACCAGTCTGATCTGTGTCCTTTGAGCCAGACAAACACTGCAATCCTAACAACACTTTCCTTGGGAGTAAGTCCTCCTGAGGAGCCTTAGCAAGATCTTGAGCAGGCCTGCTGAAGGTGGTGGTATATACAACGGAATATCGTTGTTGTTGTTCAGTCGCACAGTCAAGTCCGACTCTTTGGGACCCCTTGGAACAGATCATGCCAGGCCTTCCGGTCTTCCGCCGTCCTCTGAAGTTTGCTCAACTTCATGTTCGTTGCACCGATGACACTGTCTAACCATCTCATCCTCTGCCGTCCCCGTCTTCTTTGACCTTCAATCTTTCCCAGCATCAGGGTCTTCTCCAGTGAGGGCTCCCTTCTCCTTGGGTGGCCAAAGTATTTGAGCTTCAGCTTCAGTATCTGGCCTTCCAGGGAACAGTCAGGGTTGATTTCTTTTAGGATTGACTGATTTGATCTTCTTGCAGTCCAAGGGACTCTCAAGAGTCTTCTCCAGCACCATAGTTCAAAAGAATCTATGGAATATCGTACCTTCATCCTAAAAATGCTGTGCTGTGTGACCATCATGCCACTAGGGGGCAGGGGTGATACACAGTTGTTGGTTTGAAGGTTGCTGGGCCTGTGTAGGTGCCCTGTGACCAGGTCTCTCTGGTCATTCATGATGGAGTGGATCGCTGTCCAGGGATGCCTGTACTAATTTGGCCACCGAAGCTTGTGTTGCCTCAAAGGAAGAAGGTCTTGGGGGGGGGGGGGATTATCTTTCAGCTGACTGACAGACCTCCATTATTCGAATCCCAATTTGCTCTTTTTCTTTTTTCCTTGCTCCAATGCCAGTTGAGAGCTTGGTAGCCATTGCTCAGGCCTCTGCATACTTTCCCGGTTGCCGAGGGGGTGTTTTGGGGGAGGAGGAAGAAGAAGGGATTGGATTTATACCCCATCCTTCACTCAGAGTCTCAGAGCAGCTTACAACCTCCTTCCCTCCCTCTCCCCACAACAGACACCCTGTGAGGTGGGCGGGGCTGAGAGAGCTCTGACAGAAACTGCTCTTTTTGAAGAACAGCTCTGACAGAACTATGGCTTGCCCAAGGTCTTCCAGCAGCTGCGAGTGGAAGAGTGGGGAATCGAACCCGGTTCTCCCAGATTAGAGTCTGCGCACTTAACCGCGACACCAAACTGGCTCTGGAAGGCCCCACCCGGCTTGGTAGGCTCCAGAAAAGAGGTTGGCATGCACCATGGTGCCCCAAGTGTACGCCATTGAGGAGAATTCCGGCCGACGTGATTGCTTTCGAGAGAAGCGGCTCCCGTCTCGTTCCCATCCCCGCTTTCCCTCCACGTAGAGCGGAGGGGTCATCTGGGATCGATTCCTTTCCCACGATGCACAGGATAGAGTGCCGATCGGGGAGGCAGACAGCGGCAAGGACCTGTCGGTTTTTCTGCTGCAGGGGTGACATTTTATAAACATGCAGGATGGGAATCCTTCTGGCTGCCACTAGAGGGCGGTGCGGCCCCCCCCCCTAAAATGGCCACTCCGGTTTGCTTTATTGGCTTAATTTATCGAAAACATTTCTTTGATTTACACCCCCCCCCCTTTTGAGGGCTGCTCCTAATGGAGGTATAGCTGCTATAAATGCAGGATTATTGAGCCAACCTGCCGGTGAGCCTGTCCTTCTAAGAGCCTTCAGCATACATTGGGGGTGACTTCCTTACATCTAGAGAGTCCTGTTTTCCTGGCCCATCCTTTGGAAGACCTATTTTACAATCTTGAGAAGAAGAGCAGGGCCTAGGAACTAGCTGGGCTGTTTCTTTACTTCCTTTCTTCCCCCACCTTTCTGACCCAAGGTAGCTTGCATCATTCTCCTCTGCTTCACCCTCACAACAGTAACCCTGCGAGGTAGGTTAGGCAGAGAGCGTGTGACTGGCCCGAGGTCACCCAGCAAGCTTTCCTGGCAGAGTGGGGATTCGAATCTGGTCCTCTCAGAATCTTGGCCAGGGAATCCCCAACATGGTGCCTATGAATGAAGTGACTGTGTGACCAGTGTTGCCTCTAAGCGGAGTTGGTGTGAGCCAGCTCACAGTTTTTTTAGCCTCCAGCTCACACGTTTTTGTCTTAGTTCAGGAAGGGATGGCTCCGGAGCAAACTCATTGATGCAGCAGCCAAATCGCTCGCTCACAGCTCTAATGTCAGTCGCTCACATAGTAGAAGTTTGGCTCGCAAAACTCCACAGCTTAGAGGGAGATTGTGTGTGACTGAAGGTAAACCGTGGCAGCCACTTTTTAAAATAATTTTTTATTAAGTTTTTATAATACAGAGGGGTGAGGAAGGGGAAGAGGTAGGGGAAAAGGGCAAAAGCGACAATTTCCTGCATGTAACTTGCCTCTACTTGTGATTTCATGTTATACACAGGTAAACGGCGAGAGTTAAAAGTTCGTAAAGTCTTATTTGTTGTTGTTGTTCAGTCGCACAGTCGAGTCCGACTCTTTGCGACCCCATGGACCAGCTCCTGTCAGGCCCTCCTGTCTTCCTCTGAAGTTGGCTCAATTTCATGTTCGTTGCGTCGATGACACTGTCCAACCATCTCATCTTTTGCCGTCCCCATCTTCTTTGACCTTCAATCTTTCCCAGCATCAGGGTCTTCTCCAGTGAGTGCTCCCTTCTCATTGGGTGGCCAAAGTCTTTGAGCTTCAGTTTCATTATCTGGCCTTCCAGGGAACAGTCAGGGTTGACTTCTTTTAGGATTGACTGATTTGGTCTCCTTGCAGTCCAAGGGACTCTCAAGAGTCTTCTCCAGCACCACAGTTCGAAAGAATCTATTCTTCGGCGCTCGGCCTTCCTTATAGTCCAACTCTCGCAGCCATACATGACTACTGGGAATACCATTGCTTTGACCATGCGGGGGCATATTAAAAAGTTCATGTCTTTATATTTCTCTCTTATCCAGTTATAGAAAGGAGTCCATGGTCCAGTAAAGTCTTCTTCCGTCTGCCCTTTGGTGGCAGCCATTTTGTGGCTGGCCCCGCCTCCTTTGGCAGACATGTTGTGGCAGACATTTTGTGGCTGCACCCACCATGCCGTGTTGGGATTTCAGAGGTGCCCACGGGCTCAGAAACGTTGGGGACCACTGACCTAGCCTGGCGCTCTAACCCCGGAGTGGCCAAACTGTGAGCCACATGCGGCTCTTTCACACATATTGTGTGGCTCCCGGCAAGGTGGCTGTGGAAGTGGAGGCATGCCTCCCCGATCCGTCCTCCCTTTCCCAGCCAGTGTTCCCCTCCCTGAGTAGGCTTGAGGTGGGGGAGAGCAGA